TCACCACTCTCCCAGGGCAAAGAGCTCCAAAGCAGTGGCTCCAAAACAGGGTGGGGACTGTCACCGTGGTGGGGTGGCGGTGGGGGCCCTCAGACGGCCTGGTGCCACTGGATGATCTTTTGCACGGGTTCCCACCAGGCTACGTTATTCCCGGCTCACCAGCACCTGCTGTGAGGACCTCGCTGCCGTGCTGGGCACCAGCCCGTGCCTGGAGGAGCTGGACTTGTCCTTCAGCGAGGGGCTGCGCGATGCCGGGGTGCAGCTGCTGTGCCAGGGGCTCCAGCACCGCGCCTGCCCGCTGCAGACGCTGCGGTAAGGGGCCAACCGGAGCTCCCTCCTTCCCACTTGGAACAGCTCACCAATCGGATGGCCAACCCCCCCCTTCCCTGTTTCCCTGGTCCCACAGGCTGGGGAGCTGCCGGCTGACGGGCGCCTGCTGCCCAGCCCTGGCTGCACAGCTGCTGGAGAGGCCCCATCTCACCTGCCTGGACCTGAGTGACAATGATCTGGGAGCCGACGGCATCCTGCAGCTATGCCAGCAGCTCCGGCATCCCGCCTGCCCACTGCGGACCCTGGGGTGAGGGCCCTGGCACGGCCCCTTTCCATGCCCAGCATCCCCATTGCTGGGGGTTGGATGCTGCAGGGCAGGGAGGGGGGACACCGGCATTCTGGGTGGTTGAACCCCTTCCTCCTAACAAGGTTTAACACCACCTCCTCTTTTCCTCCATCCCAAGGCTGAGCACAGATGGGTTAAGCCAGGATGTGCTGCAGGAACTGGCCACTCTCCGGGCCCTGAAGCCTGATCTGAAGATCGGGAACCTCCTGGAGCATGACGTGCCAGAGGTAGGGGCCATGGCCCGGCTGCCCTGCCACCGCGGGGTCCTGCCAGGGGGCAGGAAGGCACTTCCCTCCTTCAGGAGAGCTCCCCTCCTTTAGGAAAGGTCCTTCCAAAAACTAGAGCCATTCCCAGCCCAGTTCTCGGTGCTGCCATGTGGGTCTGAGGCTGTGCCACACGTGAGGGCACAGCGAAGAGACCCTGCTGCATCTGCAAGGTGTCCAGGTCCTGTCTTCTCCCTTTCCCCCACAGTGTTGGTGGGAGTAACTATATGGGTTTGTCAGTGCCAAATAAATAAAGACCCTGGAGCCAAACCCAGGAGACTGTTCTCTTCCCTCTGATCCCATCATGCCTATGGATGTATCTTGGTACCAGCTCCTGCCCCACATCCCCAAGGGATGGCTGATATACCTGGGAGTGAAGTGCCAGCCCTGGGAGCGAGTCTTTGGCCAGTATGGGGTTTTAATAGGAAAAAAGAGAAATTTACATTGATATAAAAGAAATCCCTACACCAGAGCAC